AGAGGCCAACAATGTAATTGCACATATCCATCCAATTACACAAGAGGGCGCAAAATAACACTACAGTAAAATGTCCCAGGAAAACAAAAGACTGAATCGACATAACGCAAGAGCATCGATTGAGCTGCGACAATAGAATGTTTAGGAAAAATACTCAATGTGAAAAATCGAGTATACAGTCAAATGGCATTATATTTTAGTTTCTTTGTAATCATCCTTTTTATTAAAAATAATTATGTAGTATTTTATTTTGTCATAATCAAATTTTATTGAAATATAAGTTTCTAACTATTAAAATTTAAATAAAAAAAACAATAGAACATATAAAAAATAAAATTTTCAAAATTTCAATTACTCTATTATATTTTGTATATAAATATTTTATTGGTGAATAATATCTGGAAACAAAAGAAAAAAATTCTTGAACCAAGAAAAAAATATTGTATTATGACCCAAAACATTTTTGAAGAAATTAAATTTTTTTTTGGGTAATGATTAAAAAATTGAATATTCTAATTTCAAAAGGTAAGACTATCTATTTTTAGCTATATTTTCTATGTATAAACATAATAGTTTTAATTATTTGTCAAAAACTAATTAAGATATTCTGGTCTATCTAAGTAATAAAAGTAAATTATGGTGTGGGAATAATACCTCTCTATCCTAATTTTATTTATTATTTTACATGACTAAATAGAAAATGAAAATCATAAAAAAAGAAGAAAAGAAAATCATCAAAATCCTATTAAAAAGTAATGTATGAGGAAGAAAAATGATATACTATTTATTAATTTATTTTATATAAAATAATACTTTCAAATATCCTTTTTATTAGTACATATTTTTCTTTGAAATTTTTATTAATTGTTGCATCTGATTATACATTTATAAGGGTTTATTCTATGGTAATATATAATAACATAAATTACGGTAATTTTCTTCAAATTATTTTGGAATTCTCAAGGAAGCAACCAATACAAAAATGATATTTTCTTAAGAATCCTATATTGATAAACAAATTCTAAATCTTCATGAATATCTTTTATGGAAATCAATTTACCAAAAGGATATATATTAAAGTTAAAGTTGTATTTTATGAATCGAACGCAGGATTTCATACACTGAATAGGAAAAAAATGTTGATTTGGTTGAAACATGTTACTACTTCTTTGTTAACTCGAGAGATCTATGGTTAAGTTTGCCAAGCCGATTCATCATCGATTGATATTGTTTTAAAAGACTTGAGACTGGATCTATTTCGTGTTCAAATCATGTTTAACAAAAGGTATAATTTGTCTAGTACAATAATTCATTAAAACAACAAAAAGAAAAAAGAAAGAAAGGGAATGCCGTCAGGTCTAATGATATTATGACGCTCTCGGTTAATAATTATAAGAATCTATTATATTAATATATATTTATTTTTTTAAAAGATAAAAATCTTGCTTTAAATTTATTTTAGAATCTATACTAGAAAAAAATAAATTCTATTTGTTAAAAAATAAAAATATATAAAAGAGAAAAATAAAAAATTAATTAGATTAGAATTTTCGTAAGAAACTACAAATAGAAGAATTTGATTTTGAACGATATGAAAGGTATAATTTATTATATATATGTTTATTTTAAAATCTAAAAAATATCATATATATTTCATTTTCATGAAAAAATAATAAATAAATGTTTGGCTTCTCATAATTTTCGCATCAAATTCAATTATAAATATAAAAAAAAAATTATTGGAAAAAAAGAAGAAAAGAAAACAAGGCAGGGATATGCCTTTGGGCAGTAGAACATATCTGCACCCTTGGGCCTACAAAAGTAGGTCCGTGCTGCTTATCCACTTGTTTTTCTAGGGGAAAGAAAAGACAAATGACGTTGTCCAACTACAACCGTCGCTCATGCTATATGTATAGCATATTACACGTCATCCACCTGCAATTTTTTACGAATTTGAGTTCGTTAAAAATTTCACTGGAAAAGTCGAAAGCCCAATGTCAAGCCTGTAGAACCCAATTCCAGCATCATTATTATTTCAAAACACCTTAAAATCATTTATTTTTTAAAAAAAAACTTGTTTAAACCTTTAAAACACATTTCAATGCATATAAAAAAACTAAATCAAATTCAAAAATTCAAAAAATTTTGGAGTTTGATCTTCTTTCTTTAATCATTTTATATCTTGAAATCACTATAAACAAACTCTGCTCTTAAAAATAAATAATTTGAATGTAAGATTGGCAATCAAAATAGTTAAAATATGGTCTAATCATGTCACTCTCTCTCCCCCATTTCCTATTTTCGTTTCTCTCCTCCAACATCCTGATACCAAACCTTAACTCAAATAAATTTAAAATCAAAACAAAAGTTTATAGAAGCATTCTACTAAATATTAAAAAATCTGAAAAGTTTACTAGCAATGAATGAACAGTGAACTTTCCAGCCTATTTTACTATTCATTTGAACAATGATTTTTTTTTCTTCTACCTTTTGTAGCCAATGCCCTCTTTTGACTTTTACTAAACTTTTTTTTTCTATAATAGTATTTTCATGATTTCCTTATAGTTTTTTTCATTCATTTTCAAATTTTATACTTCATTTTTTTTTGTCTTTTATGTTTTCAAAATATATTTTTAAATTCTCATATTTTTAAAAATATTTTGAAATCTCATGTTTTTAATTTAGATTGTTTTTACTTCACTTTTTTTCAAAATATAATTTTTGGTCCTCATATTTAAAAAAAATATTTTTGGCCTCTTATACTTTTAAATTTTAGAACAAACACATATATCGAATTAAAAAATATATTTTTTTAGGCAAGGTCCTCTTTTGTTTTCCCTTTTTTTTTTTCTTTCGCTTTCTATAGCCAAGGCCCTCTTTTGGCTTTTAGTAAATTTTTTTTTCTACAATGGTATTTCGTGATTTCCTTATAGTTTTGTTTTCATTCATTTTTAAATTTTACACTTCATTTTTTTGTCCTTTATGTTTTCAAAATATATTTTGAAATCTCATATTTTTAATTTAGTCTATTTTTACCTCACTTTTTTTTTTCAAAATATACTTTTTGCTCCTTATATTTTTAACAAATATTTTTGACCTCTTATGTTTTTAAATTTTAGAACAAACACATATATCGAATTATATTTTTTTTATTGATTAAAATTAATCTCTTAAATTTATCATTTATTATAAAAATTCTCATCAAATTAATATTTTTTTGAACTTTTATTTGTTGATAAATATGATTTATTTTTTTCTTTGTTGAAAATTAAATTATATCTACATTCATGACACTATTAGTCCCTTCGGTTCAAAAACTATATTTTTTTTCCTTTTTGTTATTTCAATGTTTTTATTTTTTGTTTTAAAAAAATAGAGAGAGACTAAAAAATATAGGAAAAAATATGAAAAAAAGAATTTTTAAAAATAAAAAAATAACTTATTCATGGTCAACACTAATAAAAAATTAATTAATTCATTTTTCAAAACGAGATGAACTAATTTATTATTTAATTCGTAATTTAAGAATCTCTTTCATCATAAATTAAGAAGTAAGATTTATGAGAATCAATTTTGTAGTAGTTTTTATTTTAGATTATTGATTTTAATGTGTTCCATACAACTTAGATGGTTTTTTTTTTAAAAAAAATGTTTATACCATAGAATGTGAATTTACTAAGTATGATCTTAACATATAGATATATTTGCATACATAACACTAATTATTTTTAATTTATTCTTTTTTATATTCTAAAATTAATATTTTAAAATAAAATAATTAAAAAATATATCATTAATTTTTTATAAATTAATTATGTATTTGCACACATAACCCAAATTATTTATTATTTATTCTTTTTTATGTTCTAAAATCAATTTACATTAATTATGAAAAATAAGATTTTTATTCACACTCGTACCATACAAATCTTTAACCTTATATATACGATTGTTTAATCGCAACATAGCGCAGATATCCAACTCGTTAGGAACAGAAGTGCATGAGCAACAATAAACATTGAATTATACAGTAAATAGTCCTGATCTTCTTCTTCTTCCTTTCTTTTTTGTTAGATTCAAGCGGACAATGCGGCGAAAATAGTGGTTTTATAGGTGGCATATAACGAATTACCATTATGAGTTTTCAAACAACCAAACTCATGCTACCTGTAATTAACTAATAAGGGCATACGCTAAAGCTACAAAAATAGGAAAAAGGGAACAAAACAACACATTGAATGAGAAAACATTATGTGAGAGCGTGTATTGTCATGCACACTACTAGATGCATTCATAAATTTAACAAGGAAACTTGCATGCTAAAGTTTGGATTCTCCCCATAAAAAAATAAAATCATGCAAACCATTGATTATCAAAATCTTAAAAGGAAACAAAATATAGATTACCACAATAATCGCCAAAATCCACATCAGTCCTAACCCCAGACTGCAGAACTCACAGCTAAGCAAAACCAGACTCAACACAACAAAAGGCGGATCTCCGCGCAATGTTGAGCAGCCAAGAACTTCACCCAAAAACCTTTCATCTCAACCTCTTCTCCTAAACGGGTAAAACAATCCAATCACAGATTCATTTTACCATAGATCTACAAACTAATCCTAAACTCAATCTAAACTCTCAATTAAACTTCAAGTATAAAATCAAGTCAATATAGCAACACTCACGCGGAAACAATGGTAACAAATGAGACTATCTACAACTTACATGCAACCAACACTCAATTATATTATTAGAAACCACATTTTTTAGCACTAATTTAAAATCTGACCATCCCTTGGTAGGGTAAGTCCAAACTAAGAAAATAAGCAAAAACAAGGAGGCAGAAGACTAAAATAATAGGCAACCTCAAGGCGGGACCATACAAACAAAGAATTACTACGAAAAAGAAGATAAATCAAGAATTAGTGTTCGATAGAAACAAAATCTATTCTCACAGGTCAGAAAAATGTTGAAACAATACAGGAAAAGAAAGGAAGGAGCTAAGATGCAGAGAGCGGAATTGGCCTCACAGCACTTTGAATTCGCCTAAATGCAGTCCTAACACGTTCCTTGAGACCTTCATTCTCACTCTCAACATCCCCACTCTGTTTGTCAAGCTCAGCCACATTCCCATCAACACTTATGACCAGCTTTCCATTCTCCCCGAGTTTCACATCTCCAAAAAGTGAAACAAGGAGTGCATAAATCACCTTCTCTGCTTTTTTCTCATTTTCTTCCTCCGATTTTATGTCCTCTGACTCGACTATTACCTTAGGAACCTCCCGGCTGATGTTCAAAACCAAAGCTACAATAGAATCAGATACCATATCACTTATGGGGTCAGCAGTCCAGTGAAGTGAAATATGTCTATCAGACTCTTGTTTCACTGTTACCAGCTCATGCACTTGCAATGTTGGAGACCCAGACTCCTCATCAGTTCCAGACTCCACACTCTCATATATCTGCTCAAGCCTGTGCTTTATCACACCAAATGCACCAGAAAATGGAATGGTAATCCTTTGAGTAATATTTGCTGTTGATAGTTGTGAGAAGACATGGAGATCTTCAGGTGCCATGATTTGATAAGTGAAGCCCTTCTTTACTAGTATACCATTCACAGTTTCACCAACCTCCGGGGTCTTTTCAGCCAGCTTCCCAATAGTTTTTGCCATTTTTTCAGAGTTAAAATACATCTCAACAGACTGGCAATTTTTTGGGGTGATTATTTTGGTGTTCCCATCAGCAAACTCTGTGATAAGTTTCTGTTTGAGCCTTCCCATCTCATTGGCTTCTCCATGAACAAGAATAATGTTAGGAGGCATGAGCTCTTTCAAAAATGTACTTGTCTGAGCATAATCTGCATGGGCAGAGAACGAGATGTAATGTACCTGCATGTTTAGTTGCGCAGTTAGTCCATTCATGAGCTGAACCTCCTTTGGTTCATTAATTATTGTCTTAGCTAGGGTACCTTCAACAACATATCCAGGTATAACACAAGCATTTTTCTTATCAGAGCACCACATATCAAACAGCTGCCTTGACAACCCACTCTGCAATCCACCAGGACTTGCCATAACCACTGACGGGCCTACATCAGTAAAATCTTCAATGCTATTTAAAGGTGATATATGCTTGAATTTGAAGGGATTTGAGTTCGCAAACTGGTTGCGGATCCTTTCATTCATAGAAAGGATGTATGTCTGATAAACAGTCATACACTTTTTTGCAAGGGGAGAAGCATAATATATGGGAACGTTATGAAGCTCGGGATGGTTTGACCAATACTCATCAAGGATCAACAGGAGTTCTTGAGCACGGCCAAGGGCAAATGCTGGAATTAGAGCTCGACCACCTTGAGAAATGGTTGAGTGGATAATATCAGTGAAGCGTTTCTCCCGAATGTGCCGAGGTTGATGGAGCTGGACACCATAGGTAGATTCAATTATGCATATGTCAGGAGAGAATTGTGGCATCTCAGCAGCACGAAGATGCCGATCTTCTTCACGTGAATAGTCTCCAGTATAGAGTACTCGAACACCAGCAATATCTACCATGAACATGGCAGCACCGAGGACATGACCAGCAGTGTAGCACCAAAATTTAATGCCATTAACGTCCAGAGTCTGATGGAAGTCAATAACCTGGAATTACAAAAATCATTAATGAAACGAAGGATTCTTAAATTAAGCAGAGGATGACACATGCAAACAAATGCACCCAACCTTGATAACAGTGTCAGGATTTGAGGCAGGATAAAGAGAATGAATGGAAGGAAAAAAAAAAATATATATATATATATATATATATATATAAAAGAAATATCCTCACTCCCCCTCTGCAATCTGTCACCAGGTTTGAACAACTTGATCTCATGGATTGTGATTGTGCTACAGGGAAGACTGGTCAAAAAACAAAAGAAAAAAGACATCCTCACTTTGAATTGGCTGCATATGATCATATTTTCAGAATGTTGCTAAAAAATTAAACAACACCCACCTTTTTTATATTATTCCATAATGGGAAAACACCTTTTATTGAGGTTACATATTTCCATGCAACTCAGATCAACCCCAACATTACCACACATGGATTGGTTGCAGTCAAAATTTTCAACTTAACATGCACTGTACATGGATTGTTCGCAGTCAGATTTTTCAACTTAAACATCCCAAGCTAGCATATAGCATAATGCTTATGAAAAGGAGATACTATACTGAGAAAAGATAAGCAAGTCCCATTTTGGAAGAAGCACCCTTTGAAGAAACAATAGAAAAAATAAATAATAAATAATCATCCTGTTGTTACCAAACCTTTTATTTAACTGTACAAGGGAACGGCCCTAAATGGCTGACTAGATTTTTCTTTATCTTTCTCTTTTCTTTCTTTCTTTTTCTTTGTTTTTTTTTTCCCTGGACTACTGTTATCTTATTACTAATAATGTAAATCTTACACTTGCAGGAAGAGAAAGAGTTAGATGCCACTTGCTATAATATGACCTGAACTGTCATAGTTCAACAAAGATGCATGGCTGTCAACCTCGACTACTTGAATATGCTCTTTGATTTAATCAGGCAATTGAGTATTCCAAATGTGACTTACATGTCGGATGAACTTAGACAGAACAGTACTAGAAATAGAAATGCATAATTATCAGATGCACAGAAATAGGTGCTCGGTTTCCAGGAAAAACCTATAAGCCTCAAATCAGAAACAATAAACTAATAACGCCAAACTCAAACATATTTAAAGCTAAGAGATTCTAGGGAGGGAAAATTCACACATCACATGCAAGATTGAAACAATTTACATCCCAGAAGACAATAGCAGACTTTCATCTAGAGAAATCAATTCAACATGGTTAGGAGTGATAAGGAACAATGACCCATAAGCTGAATTCCTTAGCCGCTGACTTAGGAACCACAACATCAAGCGAAGCAAATATAAAAAATGAAATATTTCCAATCTAATGCATAGATGCAAAGTGAATGAAGTGGATCAAATTTGTGCAAGAACAGAAAGGCTACGGATAGATGAAAAAAAAAAAAGAACGCAACAATTATGAAACACAAACCTCAATTTTATCCATTGAGCGGTTTATGTCTTGCTCATCAAACAGCATATCTTCCACTGAAACCTTGCTCACTTTTACATAATCAGTCAAAAGCAACTTGTAGATAGCCTTTGTCGCATGAGTCATGAAAACTCGACCTCTGAATGTGGTCTGATAAAGATCGGACCAATTAGCTTGATCCTAATGAAAGATACATGCAACTTTGTAGTGATTAGTCAAAAACAAACCTTTTCTAGAAAATAAGGTAGGGAAGCAGCATGATCCAAGTGAAAACTGCAACCAAAAAAGCATCAAATGAAGAGACAAAACTAGAGAGGCGTAAAAATTTTGGTTGAAAAATTAATGACAGATAATGAAAACTAAATTGAACAAAATATACATAGATACATACATAAAATAACCAAGCAAGGAGAATTAGCAAGAGAAGGTGAAAAAATACATACTGTGTAACGAGAAGTACGTCAATAGTGGAAGGGTCAATCTCATCGAAGTAAGGCAAAGCAGCCATACCCGAATAAGCCGGATGAATTCCACAATCAAACTAGTATTTGCATAATTCCATAACAAAAAACATAAATTAATAAACAAAATACAATCATTAAATTTGATCCAGCATTATCAAGCATAGAAAAACTAACTCCCTAGCTGTGAAGTAGTATAAAATTGTGTCCTTAAAAAACAAGAAAGAGCAGAGGGAGGGAGGCAGTACCAATACAGTCTTGCCTTTAAATGACATATAAACACAGGATCGACCCACTTCATTTCCAGCACCTAAAGGGGTTAGAGTTAACTGATCCCCTCCTTCTCTTGTTACCGGTGCATCCCTTCTTTTTAGTGACGGTGATTGCCCTGTTGAAGCCATTCTTGTGCTCTTCAACTGCCAAAAAACCAAACTGTATTTATGTCCCTGTTGAAAAACTCCTTATCACACAGATAAATCCACTTGGCTTCCAATTTGTAATGATATATAAAATAAAAGAATACAACTTACAAAACTTGACAAAAACCTTATAATATTTACCGCAAGTATACTTGAACTTCAAATGTTCACAAATTACAAGGTGGAAATGAGACAATTCCACTACAGGAGGCCCGTTGTTGACAGGGGCTTTCTTTGCTTTCACTTGAAGATTTAATTAATGGATCAAATTAAAAGACCCAAATCATGGTTAGCATGTGTCTGTTCCTGACCTTATTTTTTTTAAATGTAATTAAATATCATAAATTATTCAACAAGAAAGGAAAACAATAAAAGAATATAGATCACCTCTACCAATTAATTGCATATTGCGTGTTAGGGTGATAGTATATCATTAAATTATTCAAAAAACAAAAAATAATAATAAAAAATTGTCGATATCACATTGGTTGGGAATTAAATGTTAGTCTGATTGCATATCATTAAACTATTTAAAAAACGAAAATAATAAAATATTGTCGATAACACATTGGTTGGGGTTTAAAAGTGCTCCATTTGCTAGCTGAAATTTCTAGTAAGGTGTATGGAAATACTTAGCTTCAATTTTGTTTTCAACTGATTCTATCTGTATTTTAGACCAAAATTAGTTGCCTGCCATTTTTCTATCAAACATAACCATTAGTCTAGTAGTACATTTTGTCAAACCTAATATAGGGCCTTTATATATTCAATTATCACCCTCAATAATCAAATTACATGACAAATTTTGGTTTCTATTAACCCAAAACCCTAACTTTCGAATCCCAATCATCCATTTTCAAGCTTGTAAAAACACCAAAACGACACCAAGTGTAAGTAGCACTGGCTTACATTCATCCTACAACAAGTGTAATACTGAAAATCACTCAATAAAAAGAACAAAGAAAACAAAAAGAATTACTAACCTCTTTTCGATGAATAGAGACGCAGCAAGAAGTTCAGATTAATTAGGAGGGCACCCAGAGATTGATAGAGGAAAGTAGAAGAGGGGGTTATGTCCTCGTTTTGAAAGAGGAATTCTTAAGAATTCACCATGTAATGGAACAAAAAGAGCAAAACAGTAGAGAACGTCTTTGTTTTTATAGTTCAGGGATGATATTACTATTGCTATCCATCATTTTTGCTAAAATTACATCGTTGCCATAAAACTTGCCGAAAGTTTTATTTTAACCTAAGTTTCATCTCGTTACGAAAAATGTGACTTTATGATTCAAATAAGAAAGAAAATGAATGACAAAATCAGAAATTTTATAATATTTTTTTTACGTAATTAGTAATATGTACAGTAATTATTTTATAAATTTATGTAATAATTATTCTTTAAATATTATAAAATTTTTCAAATAAAAAAAGACTAGAGTATAGATTAAAAGGTAAATAAAAATGAAGAGCATTTGTCAGCTTAATGACAAGAGTTTTGAATTTTTTATAACAATATTCAAGTTCAAATCTATTTTTTTTTTTTTAACGTATATCAGTGACCATCATAAAGTTTAGATTTGTTTTTTCGATTTCAAAAATATAAAGAGTTTGAGAGTATTTCTGATTTAATACCAACCCATATCTACCAAATATGGTTGACGGTTATTAGTTTCAACTAATTTAAAAACAAATAGTGATTTTTGGCCCTAGGGATTCTTTTTTTCATTTTGTGAATGGAGATGAGATTGTTGATATTAAACTTGTATGCGTTTAGCTAAGGAAAATTCTAAGGATGGCAAACCAGGATCTTTATTCTCATTTCATGTCAGCTTGAGAGGGCTTTTTTCCTTTCTTTTGCAAATACTCTCCATTCTGATTTATCTGTTACCTTTCATTCTATACCTTGCTCCTTTTGTAATCTTCTCATCTTTCATTTTGTGCCTGATTAGAATCATATCTTCTCTGCGGCTCATGGTTCTAATCTTATATCATCTGTTCTGTACAATATTCTGGTGGGTTTTGACAAGTTAGAGGGTGATGATAATGATGTCAGTCGGCAAGTCCTCTTGTTGGGATGCCTTATCTTGGTTCCTAATCCACATGCTTGGCTCTGTCTCCCTAATTTCCTCTTGAACAACAAAACACGAACCTATCACTTATCAATAGAGTAAACTATAAATCAATCCATCTTGTTTTAAGAAACAAACTAATTAGTCCCTCTGGTTTTAAAATCTAATTATGTAATCCTTTTAATTAGTGTTGACTAGGACTATTTAATATTTTTGTTTTGTAAAATATCTTATTTTCTCATCCATCTTTCCATATTTTGATTTATTTTCTATTTCTTTAAACAAAAAATTAAAAAATAGCAAAAAGAACTAAATATTAGTTTTTAAAACTAGAGAGACTAATAAATTTTTTCTCCAAGCAAGAAGGACTAATTTATAATTTACTCCTTATCAATATGTGTTCAATGTTTTTTCTTCCTTCTGCCCTTTTTAATTCTATATGAAAAGAAAGCTTGATTTATGAAAGCTAATATTTTTATTTTTAATCGAAATTAGTGAAAAATAAATAAATCAAATATGTGTTCAATATATGATGCAAAACATTTTATTTCCTTTTTTCATCAAATATTAATTTTTCTTTCTTTTAAAAAAATCAATTGTAATTAAAAAAAATCTCAGATTTAGAGATGATCTTTTGCTCTAATTAAAATTATAATTGATTAAATATAATTATTATTTTTCTTGAAATAAAAATCAAACACAATTTGAATCATTGAGAAATTATACCGAACATAATATAATTAACAAATAAGATAGGAGTCAATTTTATTTATTTATTTTTGATTCGTGACATCAAGAAATTGGGCGTTTGGAATTTAGGGCACACGTCAACTAGTCTTCATCTCTTAGTCTAATCAAGCTTCTTTGCTTACCTTTATGTTTTTCAACTTTAATTATTCCTCGCTCTTAACGAAGCCAGCTAATTGGCCGTGCCCAGCAGTGGTGAAATTTGATGGATGAAAGGACCGGAAAAAGGATCCCCTTTTTGACAGACTGATATCTCCTGACAGCAGGTTGGTAGACATATTCACACTCATCTGTCAAAAAAATATATATTCCCATATCCTTTTTTGAAAATAGAAGTTCTGATTAGTGTTTTCTTTTTTCAGATAAAGTTTCTTAGATTAATTTTCCTTACTTTTATAATTAGTGGCATTAGACATGGGAATACCTATTAGTTAGATTGACATTAATGTTGACTGTTGTAGCGCTACTCGTTCAAAAATATGTATTCTATTATTGTAATATTTGTGACCTAAAACCCTCCTAAAATGGAAATGCCTCATAAAAATAGTTTGTTTAATTAATAAAAATATATTTATTAAATATGTGAATGAAGTTTAATTATAATTAATAATGAAAGAAACCCAATTATGATTGAAAGGAAATATCAATAGAATGAGGAAAGATTGAATTAGAAATTGACATTATCAATTATCATGGTTGTACGCTAATATATGGGCTTACTTGTAAAGATAAAAATTTTAGGTCCTTGATTTAATTATTAAAAAACTTTAGGGATTGAAATTATCCTTAGGATAGGCCTAGGATGAGGACCAAATTGATCAAAATTGTGAAATTATGGACTGAAATTGTAAGGTTGGATTGCAAGGATTGGAAGTTTAGAAACTAAATTGTAAAATGTTAATCTTGTGATGGACCTATTAATTAAACTTAAGGGACAATTTTAGCTATAGATAAATCTGAAAATTTAAGAGAAAGAGAGAGAGAGTAAGTCGGCTAAGAAGAAGAGAGGAAGAGAAAATATCTAGAGTAAAAAGGATGAAGCAATGATGAGAAAAAATAAGAAAATTCAAAGAGCCTTTAATGATCCACCTTGAGATTAATCCAAATGTGACACACTTGGCTTGATTTTGAGGCAAAAACCGAGTCATAAATATGGAGGAAGAAGAAGAAGGAAGGGTTACACATTATTAAAGCTTCAAAGTAACCCTAAAGAAAAGGAAACCAACGCAACCAACTAACCACCACTCTAACTCATCTTAGTGAGTTTAAAAACACTTAAAATTAACCTTCAAACCAACTTAGAGGATCAAGCAAAGAGAGGGAATAATTATTCATCTTGGTCGATAGTCTTTAAGGAAAGAAGGAAGAAGGAACTAAAGAAGAAAGACCAAACTCTAAGTGAGGTAAGTATAATTCCCCACCTATACCATAAGAAATTAACGATTTGAATGTGTGATTGGTGTTAGTTTAAAGTTTATTTAGTTGAAGTCTAATGGATGTGTTATTGAGAATTGTTTGTAATGATTGTATTGGAATGAATTGATGATGCATATGTGTTGATCATATGAAAATTTTGATGTTAGAATGATTGAAGTGAATGAAATCATGTGATTTAATGTTGTCCTTGTTCCAAGAACAAGGTGGATGGACAACCTTAAGCGAGTATAAATTGATAGTTGGGTTACCTAATGCCTACTTAATGTTTGATGAAATGTCTCAAAGATATTTAAGAAGTTAAATTGATGGAATTAAGACTTGGTCACCTTGTGGTCAATTTTGGCCAAGTAAGAGGTTTTGGTTGACTAGTAGAGTGAACCTACTTGCTGCTAAAATGATGAGGAATATGTTAGACAAAAAGGTTAACGTGAAGTTTAGAGGTATAAATGGTATGAAAATGATCATGTTCGTATGATGAATGATTGTTCATGCTGCTTGACATATTCAGCCATGCTATGATGTTAGCCATGTTCAATGTTTGTTCATGATGTATTTATGTATTGCAAGCATACTTGATTACTTGAAACATGTATTTGATATGTTATGTATGTTACATATTGTTGAATATTTATTGGTATGCATGTCGAGGTTCATGTTTATTGCATTGTATTTTATTTAAATGCATCCGCACATCATAATCATGAAAAAGGTTTTATATTCATGATTTTG